AGAGGCATTAGCAATGTAGAGAGCTTATATCAAAAACATCAGTAAAACTCCCTTGCCTAACCCCACCTACCTGCCTCTTTGTCTAGTCTTTCTTTAATTTAGCTGGTATCTTCTATCTTTCCAGCTTTCCTTTTCTCACACATTTTTTCCTTATTTTCATTATTAAAGAACAGTTTTGCAGAATCAGATCTGGGTGAGGCCTTGGAGGTCTGCTTCCAAGGTGCACAGGCATGTGCATATGGTCCCCAAGGACATACATTTCCCTGCTCAAGGCAAGAAGAGAAGGAAGGAAAATATGTGTGGAGTTTTTCCATAAGACCTCACTTTTTAAATTTAAAGAGCTATCTTTGCATCTTAGACTATGTCTTTTTTACTTTTTTGGTGTTGAACTCTTGTTTTGTGAAATGATGGGAGAGAGGCTTTTTCAGTTAATTTTTAAAATGATCTTATCTGGCAAAACAAAAAGTATGGTATACCCACCCCGATTTTTTTTTTTTTACATGTTGGCCGTGCCTCCTGTACAAGAGTTGGGGAATTACTGATAAAAGCATAAGCTGGCAGTAAAACTCCCTTGTCTAGGTTTAATGCTGGCACTGACAGATATGTGTACAGGTGAACAGGTGCCTTCCTGCTTGCCTCTGGATAGGGTAGGGGCTTCATGGTTGGAGAGGGTCTGGGGAGCCTTGACTGATTCTTCTCCCAAAGGAAGCAACTTCACTTTCCCAGGCCTGGGCCCAGATAGAATACTTTACTTTTCTTTTTTAAGCATGCCTTTCTGAGGGAAAAAAAATCTAAGGGTGCTTGCCTTTCCTGGTTTTTCTCAGTTAAATAGATATACACATACATAATATATGTACATGCATGTATGTGTACATGCACACATATACACACACATGCATATGTATATATGCATGCATACCCATATTATCTGTTTATGTACATACATATATATATGCAAACACATACCTGTATATGCACACACACATACATTCTTGTGGCCTTTGCAGTCAAATACAACCTAGTGTTTGGGGTCAAACTCATTGCTACTCAAGGAGCTTGACCACATCCCAACCCAGTAAGCAGAGTACTTGTTGGTAGGACAGGACTATTTCACATAACATAGTGGGGGGAGACGGGCCGGATCACATCCTCCAAACCTTGGAGTCTTAGAATGAAAGGTAAGTATGCACTCCTAGAATGAGCCAGCCTCTGCATTGACATAATTCAGGGAATATGCAGTGGTATTTACCAGATGCCTACCCTAGCCTCTCTGTGGCATCCTGTAGGGCACAAAGGCTTAGGTACTTGCTGCTCCTGGTCTCTGGATGGAGAGGCACAGGCTTGGAGGGTAGGAAGAACAAGGGAGCCAGCATCTTATCTGCACAAGATTTGTTTCTCCACAGGGTGAAGCATCTGCTGACCTAGTGTCTCCCAGCAGAGTTGGCTGCTGTGTTTTGCAGTTTGCTTGAGAGACACTGATAGCTCCTAGGCTTTATTGTAACATTGTAACACAGATATAAGTAGTGCTTCAATTTCTCTATGCCTATTTAACTCTCCTTGGATGAGACTCACTCCACATGCTTTTTATCTAAGCAAAACCTAATTGCCAATAAAATGAAGAGCAGAAATAGGGAACTTATGTTCATTGAAACAGCTTGTGGTAGAGAGAGAACTTTAAATGTGTTCTTCTGCTTCAAATGGGAATTGAGCAATGCAAGGGCTAAGTCCCGGTACTTCCCACTATGGAGGAAGGGGTTCAGTGAGAAGGACTTGGACTTATGTCATTAGCTTCCCTGGAAATAACCCCCCTCTGCAGCATAGTTTGATTCTAAACCAGTGGTAAGCTCATTGCCTTCTGACTTTTCTTGGAAAAATCATTTCTAGGAATGTCTGCTTGGCTTGGCCTTGTGGCTGATAGTGTTCATGAGTCAGGTTTGTGGCAGACTCAGCAGTCCCTTTGCTGTCCACCTCTGTCCCTGGGCTGGACTATAGTGTGGCCTGGTCCCTAGTATCATGCTTGGGTCCCCAGCCCATTGTCACCCACAGAAGTGGAGGACACTGTGCCATATGCATTTGTCCTGGACTTATCTCTTGACACAGATGGAGCCAAGAGAGCACAGGGCTAGACTGGGGCAGGGCCTCCTCCCAGAGACCTCCCTAGCCCCTTGGCAGCCAGGTCACAGTGGGCTCTGGGCTGGCTTTGAGTCAGCTCTTTTGAACACATAAGGGTGTTGTGTGTTGACTTTGCTCCCCACCACCAACTCTCTTATTTTGAGAGGCTGCCTCTTGAACCCAGGTTGAGCCCACAATATTTAAGGAACTAGTTTCATCATGGCTGTGGTTTGGTAAGTGCAGGTGTTAAGTGCCGAATATAAGAAGCTGTTCCCACTCTAAAGTTTCAGTAGAGTGATTTGATGTCTCCTTTGTGAGGCTGTGTGTCCCCAAGGTGCAGAGCTGTGCCCCAGTGGGAAGGCCTGTGACCCCTCAGCCCCAGAGTCCCTGCCGTGTGCTCCAAGGCACCTGTGGGTGTCCTCACCGCTTGATGTGCTCTCCCCCTCTGTTGTCACACTCAGCTCCACCTGAGAGGCCCATAGAGTAAGAGCAAAGGGATTACAGGTTAGATAGCCCATGGTTAGGATAACCCAGGGAAGGTGAGTGCCCCCCAACCCCAACCAGTTCTGAGTTTGGCCCGCTCTGCCATGTTGTGGGATCTGGGATACAAATCTACCATGGCCTGCCAGGAGGGGAAGGGCACTGCATACCCCCATAACACATGGTAAATAGGGAGCCTGTAGCTACTTCTGGCCTGAGAACATTGGCTCATGATTTTTAAAAAAAATTCTGATTACTTGCTGGTATCAGTTAAATCATATTTGGCTATAGTGACAGAATACCTCATAAATGATCTTTTAAATTATGGAGAAATTCACTTAACTCTCTTGCCAGGAGTGTGACTCCTGGGGCTCTCCTTTCCCCTTTGCCACTCTTGCCCCCCAGGCTCAGCCCTGGTGCTGTGCTTGTCACCTGGACTGCTAAGTAGCAGACACTTTAGTTCAGTGCATGACACCTAGGAGGCACAGAGAATTTTCCTCTTATCAGGAAGGGAGAAGTTTCAGAAGCCTTACCAGCCCAGTCTTTTCTTCTTATCCCAGTGGCCAGAACTGGACAGCAGACAGGATATTCCTAAAGATGAGCACATTGCCCCCCAATTCAGTCTGTGTAGCTCTCAATGTCAGCCACAGCTTCAGCACTTCAGAATGAGAAGACCCTGCACACTTCAGATTGATGGTTTCACTTGAGAAACCTGAGGCCTTAAGCACCACTGACTGCACTGCTGTCCCCTCCTGCCCTGGCACCCCCACCCCATGCATTCTGCATCCCTACTTTGCCTCTGTGCTTTCCTTCACAACTCCCTGTGAGGTCTCTATGACTAACACTTCAGATTTCAGGATTCCAGAAAGAATCCTTTCTTGTCTGCTCTGTACTAAATAAGTCTATGGGAATAGAGTTATAGTTCTAGGAGTCTCCTCTTCATAAGCTAACATCTGGGAGCATTTGTCACCAGGCAAAGTTCCTTGAAGCTTATTTTACAATGTTCTGGTAGTGACAAGTTTCAGGGAAGAGTTTGGAGTCCTTGTGTTGTCCCATACTACTGCCCTTATGGAGGCACATGCCTTGCATGTATTGATAATGTGTATGTGTGAGTGTGTGTATGTGTAGTGTGTGTGTGTGCATGTGAGTGTACATGTGAATATGTGGTGTGTATGGGCTTGAATGTGCATGGTGTATGTGGTTGTGTGTGCATGTGAAATATGTTTGTGCATGCTGACAGTTTCTACCACCTGCCTAGCCTGCCCTGGCTGTCAGGTGTTGAGTGTGTTGTGCAGTCAGTCCTTGATTGGATTCATTGTAGCATGCCTGGATTTCCCATTCCTATTACATTCCTTTGCCCTGTCATCCCTTATGAGATAGTAGACTGAGTTTTTTGAAATCAGAGCTACATTTTATTTAACTCTGAAGCTCTTGTAACTTTTCAGAGTCCCTGGCACATTTTCAGTACTCAATGAGCATTTAAAGTGAAATGAATTTAGTTAGTGGGTAACTTTTGGTGTTACAGTGCTTTATAAGCCATTCCAAGGTAGAAGACATCAAAAAACATGTACTTTATACTTTCTCATAGAATATTTGTAATTAATACACAGCACATTTTAAAATGTAACCAGAACAGTGATGATGTACGCATTGTACTTTGGGGACTCATCGAGGCAGAGCATGTATCCTATTCATCTTTGTGTCTTGAAGATATAGCACAATCTCCTGTACATTATAGGTTCTTCAGATATGGTTACTAACTGAGTGAATAGTCAGAGAAAGGTGTGGGCCTATAAAGCTAAAGTGTCAAAGAAACTGAGGACTTTAGTACCCATAGTTACTCAGGACTTTATAATTCACAAAGCATGTTTACATATACTGTCTCATTGTTCCAATTTTCAACTGAGGTTAGAAGCAAAGTGATGTTGCCAAGGTAAATGATAGAGCAGGGATTTGAGCCATCATTCCTATCCCCTACAGCACTCTGATGAACTGAAGGAAGATGACACCTATCACAGTTGAAGTTGACCGATGTTGGAGAGTAGTTTTGGGTTTCTCAGTGTACAGGGAACTGAGGGAGCAGAGCGGTGTGGGTGTCTTTCTCACTGGTCAGTGTGGCTGCAGTGTGTCCTAGTAGCATGAGGCACACTGGGGCTATTGAGCAGTTACGGAACCAGAGTGAATCCAAGGGGTGAGCAGGGCAGGGATTCATTGAGAGAAATTCTGAAAACTCCAGAGCTGAGCCACCGTCACCTTCCCCAGGACCTCAATATCATGGGTGCTCAGGTGCTCCAGCCCTGACTGCACCAGGCATTGGTGCCGTGAGGCTCTGAGGCCTTCTCTAGAAGCTTTTCATCAGTGTTGAGTAAAAGTTGAGAGGTGTCATTTCTTTCTTTTCTCTTCCCCAGGACAAGACATTTCAAAGAAAGTATTAAGTTCATCCACGAGTGCCGGCTAAAAGGGGAGGGCTGTCTTGTGCACTGGTACGTATATTCCTGTTGCAGTGCACTACCATGTTCTGGTCAGTTTGGTTTTCATTGAGGGCTTTTTGGGGTGTGATTAATCTCTGAATCATTGTTTCTACCCTGCAAATCACAGGCACACACTCCATCCTGGCCCCTGCTATTTGTAAGATGTCCTTTGCTTTTGTCAAAAGAGAACCCTGATTTCTTTTTCATTTTCACCCCTTGTTAGGATTTCCATCAGGACTGTTGACACTGTCCTTTTTTAGCCCCTTACATTCCATCCGACAGCCTTTTGCACGGGCTGAGGTGCATCCTGGAGACTTTCAAGACTGTTTCTTCCTGGAGAGTTTTGATTGCTGTGTGACTGTCAGGACTGCTTTAACACCATAATGACAATTTCTTCACCATTTATTGATTGGGCCTTTGATGGGTTTTGACTCACTGCTTTGCTTTTTTTTTTTTTTTTAATTGTGATTTGGGTGAAAGTTTACAGAGCAAATCACCTTCCATACAGTAGCTCACATACACTTTGTCTTATGACATTGACTACAATTTACCACAGTGCAACAGCTCCCCTCCCACTTCCTCCCCATAGTTACCTCTTCCCTGAGTCCTTCCCTCCATGTACTCCTGCCCCCTGAACTGTCTCCCTGTGCGTACACTGCCATTCTATTCTCCCATGATTGATCTCTCCAAGGAGTATATCTACCTAGTATAAATATGGCTGTCTTTTGTTTGGCTGGAAGCCATAGGAGTGGGTTCAATTCCAGACCTGAAAGGCAGCTAGGGGCCATAGTCTCAGTGGTTCTCTGAGGCTCTATCAGACCAACAAACCTGGTCCCTTTTTTTTTCAAATGATTTTGAGTTTTGTTCCACATTATTCTCCCTCTCTATCCAGGATCTCCTACATAGATCCCCCTCTGAGTGGTTGACAGTGGTAGCCAGGCACCATCTAGTTCTTCTGGTCTCATAGTTGTACAGGCTGAGGACCACATAATGTACCAGTCACTTGGACTAATTGTTTCCATGCATCTTTGGTTTTCTTCATTCTTCTTTGCTCTGGATGTGGAGAGACCCATTGTTGCATCTAGATTGCTGCTTTCATGTTCTTAAGATTCCAGCTGCAAGAGAGTTCCAGCAAGATGACGGACTAGGCAGAAAGACTGCACAAACCCTCTTCAACAAAGAAAAAGGAAACCAATTAACACAGACACAGAAAATAATCTTGGACCCCTGAGACTTGAAGGGAAGGATACAAAAGTGGACTAAACCCCAACTAGCAGAAGAATTTGTGTGAAAATACCAAAAAAGGAGACACATGGAGCTGCGGTCTGGCAGCAACCTGAGCGACCTTGACAGCACAGACGGCTTGGAGATTCCCGAGTGGTGGTAGGACCTAAGAATTAACTGAAAAATCACCCTGCTAGCCAGGGACTGCACGGAGGAGTATGCACGGTGGCTGGGGAACAAACAGAGAAGGTGAAGAGAAAGGTGGGCTGAGCTATGGACTTCTGCCATTCCGGAGGGAGCCGCCATTTTGTAGGTTTAAAAAGCGGCTTTACTATGTTGGATATTTAAAGAGACAGCGCTCCCGCAGATTCCTGTGGTGGTAGGACTTAAGAATTAACCTAAAAATC